TTATAGAGGAACTAACACAATTCTTCTCAAACTAACCCAAAAAGTTGAAAAGAAGAGAATTTCTACTGACTCTTTATATGACGCCAACATTATCCTGATAGCCAAACCACAGAAAGACACAACAAAAAAAGAAAACTAAAGGCTGAGGAACACAGATGCTAAAATACTCATCAAAAATACTACCAAACAGAATTTAACAGCACATGAAAAAGATAATTTACCACTATCAAATGGGATTTATTCCAGGGATGCAAATAAACATGGTTCTATATACAACAATCAATGAGTGTGATATATTACCTCACCAGAATGAATAACATCAACCATATGATCATGTCAATAGATGCAGAAAAAGCATTTGATAAAATTCAATATTGTTTCAAGAGGAAAGCTCTCAACAATTTTGACAAATAATGAATCAACATACCTCAACAGAATAAGGCCATATATGACAAACCCAAAGCAAACATCACACTGGGGAAAATCTGAAAGATTTTCTCTAAGAATTGTGACAAGGATGCTCACTTTCACCACTCTAATTCAACATAGTACTGGCATTCCTAGCCAGATCTATCAAACAAGAGAAAGAAATAAAAGGCACCCAAATTGGAAAAGATGAAATCAAACTGTCCCTATTTGCAAATGGCATGATCTTATATATAGAAAAACATAAGAACTCCAACAAAATACTATTAGAATTGACTATAAAAAATCAGTAACATTGTCAGATATAAAATCAATATTTTTTTACTAAATCATAGCTGTGTACATTAATGCAATTATGGGGTACAGTGTGCTGGTTTTATATACAATTTGAAATACTTCCATCAAACAGGTTAACATAGCCTTCACCACATTTTCTTTCTAGTTATTGTGTTAAAACATTTATATTCTACACTTAGTAGATTTTACTTGTACCCTTGCAAAATGAACCATAGATGTGGTCCCTCCAATTGCCCTCCCCCTACCCATTTTTCCCCTTCCCATCCCCTCCCTCTCCTCTTTCCCCTTCTTCTTGGGCTATAGTTGGGTTATAGCTTTCATATGAAAGTGCGGGTGTTTATAAATTGGTTTCTTCTTTTCTTTCTTTTTTTTTTTTTTTGAGACAGAGCCTCAAGCTGTCACCCTGGGTAGAGTGCTGTGGCATCACAGTTCACAGCAATCTCCAACTCCTGGGCTTCAGTGATTCTCTTAACTCAGCCTCCCAAGTAGCTGGGACTACAGGTGCCCGCCACAACACCCAGCTATTTTTTTTGGTTGCAGTTGTCATTGTTGTTTGGCAGGCCCAGGCTGGATTCAAACCCACCAGCTCTGGTGTATGTGGCTGGCACCTTAGCCACTTGAGCTACAGGCACTGAGCTATATAAATTGGTTTCATAGTACGGCTGAGTACATTGGAAACTTTGTCTTCCATTCTTGAGATACTTTTCTAAGAAGAATATGTTCTAGCTCCATCCATGTGAACATGAAAGAGGTAAAGTCTCCATCTTTTTTTAAGGCTGCATAATGTTCCATGGTGTACATATACCACAATTTATTAATCCATTCATGGGTCAATGGGCATTTGGTCTTCTTCCATGACTTAGCATGGAAAAAAGGGAACACTTCTGCACTGCTGATGGGAATACAAACTAATACATTCCTTTTGGAAAGATATTTGGAGATCACTTAGGGATCTAAAAATAGACCTACCATTCGATCCTTCAATTCCTCTACTAGGTATATATCCAGAAGACCAAAAATCACTTTGTAACAAAGATATTTGCACCAGAATGTTTATTGCAGCACAAAATCAATATTTAAAATAGTAGTGTTCTGATATACCAATAATGAAACAGCTAAAAAAGAAAATAAAGAAAGCAATCCCATTTACAATAACTACCAAAAAATAATAAAATACCCAGGAATTAATTTAACCAAGGAGGTGAAAGACTTCTACAAAGTTAACTACAGAACATGAAGAAAGAAATTAAAGAAGTCACAAAGAAACGAAAGACATCCCATGCTTTTGGATATGAAGAATTATTATTGTTAAAATGACCCTACTACCTACCCAAAGCAATGTAAAGATTCAGTTCAATCCCTATCAAAATACCAATGTCCCAGAAATAGGAAAAACAATCCTAAAATTCATATTGAACAACAAACAACCCTGAATAGCCAAAGCAATACCAGGCAAAACAACAACTAAATAAATAAACCAAACTGGAGGCCTCACACTACCTGACTTCAAGGTATACTACAAAGTTATAGGCATCAAAATAGCATGGCATTGGTATAAAAATAGACACATAAACCAATGGGACAGCACAAAAACCCCAGAAATAAATACAAAGAGTTACAGCCAACTGATTTTTGAGTGCCAAGAGTATACATTGAGGGAAAAGATATCCTCTTCAGTAAAAAGTGCTGGGAAAACTGGATATTCATATGCAAAACAATGAAGCTGAACCCTATCTCCCATCTTATGCAAAAATTAACTGAAAATTCATTACAGACTTAAATGTAACACCTGAAACTATAAAACTACTAGAAGACAACATAGAGGAAATGCTTCAGAACATGGGCCTAAGCAAAGACCACAAAGGCACAAGAACAAAACCAAACATAGATAAGCAGAATTACATTAATCTAAGAAGCTTTGGCACAGCAAACAGAGTAACAGAGTACACAGACAACCAGTAGGATGGGAGAAAATACTTATAAGCTATTCCCCCAACAAAAGACTAATATCCAGTATATAAATGGTACTCAACAGCAAAAATAATGATTCCATTGAAATCTGGGGAAAGGATCTGAGAAAACATTTCTCAAAAGAAGACATACACAAATGGCTAACAAGTATATGAAAAAATCCTCATCATCGCTAATGATCAAGGAAACAAATTAAAACCACAACATCTTACCCCTATTAGAATGGCTATTATCATAAAGGCAAAAAATAACAAATGCTGGTGAGATGCAAAGAAAAGGAAACTCTTATATACTGTGGTTGGAAAGTAAATTAGTGCAGCTAATATGGAAAACAGTATAGAAGTCTCTCAATAAACTAAAAATAGAATTATCATATGATCTAACAATCACACTAGGGATCTATCTAAAGGAAAGAAAATAGTATTCAACTCCTATATTTACTGCAGCACTATTTACAATTGCCAAGATATACAATCAACCTAAGTGTTCATAAATGGACGAATAGATTAAAAAAAAAAAAACAGTATACATACAATGTAATACTATTTGTCCATAAGAAAGAATGAAATCTTGTCATTCACAGAAACACAGGTGGAATTGGAGATCACTGTGTTAGGCGAAATAAATCAGGCACATAAAGACCTATAGGAGGTAAAAATGTTGATCTCATAGGTAGAAAGTAGAATGATAGTTACCGGAGACTGAAAATGGTTGAAGAAATGGAGAGAGGTTGGGTAATGGGTGCAAACATACAGTTAAATAGAGCTTTAGTGTTCAATAGCACTACAGATTGACTATAGGTAACTACAGTATATTATATATTTCAATATAACTAAAAGAAAAGACTTGAAATGTTCCCAACACAAAGTAATGATAAATATTCAAAGCAAAGATATCCTAAATATGTGATTTGATCATTATATATTGTATACATGTATCAAAATGTCATATATACCCTGTAAGTATGTACAAATACTATATATTAATTTAAGTATTTTAAATATCATTCTGGTCTACCCTAAACAAGAGATTGAGTGGGTTTTACATCATAGTTTTACTATATTCTATGGCCTCTGGAACAAATAATATGGTTTAGTAGAATATACTATAGTTCTTTTTAGCCTTTTTTTTTTCTTTTTTGCAGTATCTGCAAAATAATAATAAGAAAGAAAGAAAAGACAAAATAAATGACTCTTTAGGAAGATGGATAAGATGAAAAATACTCCAGCACCCTTGAACTTGAGTATGTTCTTTCTGATGCTCAAGGATAGGGAATGGCCCTAGACTGCCACCCTGAGTGTATGTAGTGGTCAAGGGCTTTCTCTTTGTGTTGTTTACTTTAAATTCTATCAGTAAGAATGGTTTTGGCTGCTAGAAACAGAGAATGCAACTTATCATTACCTAAATAACTGAGCACATCTACTCAGAGGTATATACCCAGAAGACACGAAAAAATATGACTATACAAAGACTTGTACATGTGTATTCAGAACAGCATTATTCATGGTAGTCACAAGGTGAAAACAACCCAAATGTCCATCAACTAATGAATGAAAAAGTGAAATACGCTATATCTATATAATGGAATATCATTTGCCTATAAAAAGGAATGTAGTGCTGATACATGCTATAATGCGGAAACATTGAAAACATTATGCTAGGTAAAAGAAGCCAGTCACAAAAGACCAATTTATTATATGATTCCATTTATAAAACATCCACACTAGACAATTCCACAGAGATCAGATTTAGTAGTTTTTAGGGTTAGTGTGAATAAGAGGATTGGAGGGAGGAGAAAAAAAGAAAAGGTCCTCAGTTTCTTTAACTTCCTACTTCCACTAGAATTTTAGAGACAGCCCATGAGATTAGTGAAAAGGACACTGAATGAGGAGATGAAAGAATGTGCATCCCCTGAGACACTTGCTCACTTTCCCTCAGCCTCAGTTTCCTCACATGCCCATGGAGGTGGTAACTCAGAAGGTTATGAGACTTTAGAGACAAGAAGTGAATGAGCAAAAACACTTTAGTAAGACAAGTTTCTTCAACATTCATAGACAAGGATAAGTTGTTTAGTATGTATGCTACTCAGAAAAAATTCAAGAGTGACTTTAAAGTCTTCATTTCAAATATCTCCTCTATTTTCATTCTTTTCCCCTTAGATGACTCTGAATTAGAGCTTCCCTCTAACTATCAGTGAGAGATGATAAGCCTAATTTCAACAGATTTGACCCTTTTTTGCCCCAATCAGAGGCTTGGTTCAGTACATTTAAAGTAATAATCAAGTTTTATTTTGTTTCTCCTCCCAGGGATTTTGGGATTTTGATGCAGAATGTCATAGAAAGTACGGGAAAACGTGGGGGTGAGTATTGTGGAAACCTCCATCGCATAGACTTGCTGCTATGATGAGGTACCCCCCTTCATGAAGGATAATCTCAGCCCAGAGCCTCTTGGGATGAAGCTATCTATTATAAAGTTTTTGTAGGCCTAACCTACCAAAGATCCCATATGTCTCCAGTTGTTGAGAGCTACAGTCTGAATTAGGCCAAGAACGTTGTGGGCTACCACTTTTCTCCAGGCTTTGATTGTCCAAGGACTTCTAGCATCACCTTGTATCCAGTGTCTGACTATTCCCCTCATCTCCATTTTTCCATCTTTAGGTAACCTTTAATTCAATCAAATGCATTATTTCACACTCTTCTGTTATATGCTTACAAATGCATGGCTTTATCTCCTTCTCACATTGGTTCATTTTTAGTTAAAAGCCAAAATGCCTTCATTTAAATCTGTGGTTTAATATGTGCTTTTGAAAGAAGGGCTGGGAGATAAACAGATTAAAAAACCACTAATTCTCTGCTTTTTTGTTAACTTTTGTTCTCTCTGCAAGTGTAGAGTTGTATTCTTTTTTTGATTTAAGCCAAGAGAAGTTTTTTTGTTTTTTTTTCTTTTCTGGGGTTTTGTTTGTTTTTGAGACAGAGTCTAGCTCTGTCACCCTGGTTAGAGTGCCGTGGCATCCTAGCTCACAAGAACCTCAAACTCTTAGACTCAAATAATCCCCTTGCCTCAGCCTCTCAAGTAGCTGAGACTACAGATGACTGCCACAATGTCCAGCTAGTTTTTCTATTTTTAGTAGACAGGCCGTTCTCAGGCTGGTCTCAAACCCATGAGCTGAAACCATCCACCTCCCCTCAGCTTCCCAGAGTGCTAGGATTACAGGAGTGAGCCACTGTGCCTGGCCAAGCCAAAAGTTTTCAATAGAAGTATATACAAGTATTTGTCTACATGTACTCCATGCTTATGACTTTGAAGAAGAGTGATAATTTAACCCACTGTGTCCCTGGTGGGCTGATCTTGGAGGGTGGCTTCAGTCAACTGCAGCAGCTCTTGCCTTTCAGAGCTGCTGGAGGTTTGGTGAGAGCAATAGAAGAGGCACAACTGCATGTTTGTATACTACAAACAAGAGGGAGAAAGCTTTGCTTCTTTGTATCTCTTCATTTTCTCTCATCAAGCCCTCAGAAACCACAGCACTGACCATAGAGTACTGCTGAGTTGGCATGGCCTATAAAGGCCACGTGACTGAGTAGCAGGAACACACAGTACCAGATCTTCATGGGACTGACTCCAAGTGCTCCTTGCCAGCCCTTGATAATTTACTTGCCTTCAATGACTTAATATCATTTATGATAATGAAATATTTAAAACATACAAAAAAATATGGAGAATGGCATAGGAAATACTCATGTATGCACCACCTAGACTTAACAAGTGTTCCCGTTATCTCTAACCATGATCGGCTTAAAGAGTTATTTTTCTTTTGATGTCTGAGCCACATTACCTTTATTGCATAAATGAGATAAGAATTTTGCTGTGTCCTACACTAACTCAAGCTTGGACCTAATATTGCTGTGTATTGTACAACTAGGGTAAGGTGACCAGATTTTAACATTGGTAAAGCGGGACACCATTGAGGGGGGAGGGGCAGGGGAGGGGCAGGGGAGGGGCAGGGGAGCGGGGCCTGACAACAATGCAAACTTTGATAAGCAATTCTCAATAATCAGTTCTCAACAATTATTTGTTATTATTAAAGTTTAACATTATAAAATTAACAAAAATAATATAAAACTCATATCCTGGCAAAATAGCCACATGGCAGCCGAAAACCCTTCCTGTTCTCCCGTGTTCCCTAGCTTGTCATGCATTCTTTCCAAACATCGAGACTTTTTAAAAATGCCACAAGACACAGGACAAATTGTTAAAAATCAGGACTGTCCCACCAAAAGCGGGACGTCTGGTCACCTTAAACTAGGGGTATGGATTAGGTAACATCAGACTCAAAGTCTAGATTGCTGAGTGTGCCACCAGCTACAGAATCAGGCTTACAGGGTTTAATCAGCTCTGTTTTCCCAACACAGATTGTACGATGGTCGACAGCCTCTGCTGGTTATCACGGATCCTGACATGATCAAAACAGTGCTAGTGAAAGAATGTTATTCTGTCTTCACAAACCGGCGGGTAGGCATCCATTTTTTAATTTTAAATATATATTTATTTATTAAGCTTTTAGTTTGAAACAATATATATATATGTACGTATTCACAAAAAGTTACCTCCATAAATGTATAGGGATGTTCTATGTACCCTTCCTCATCTTTCCCCCAGTGGTAACAACCTACATAACTATAAATATATTCTTGTTACTAAAGTAACAGAAAACCAAAATTGATACAATCCACAGAGTTTATTCAGATTTCCTCAATCTTATGTGCCTTCATTTGTGTGCATGTGTGCAAATTTATCACTTGCATAGATTTGTGTGACTACAACACAATCAAGACACAGAACTCTTTTATCATCATGAGGCTCTCTAACAGTGAAAGAGCTTCATACAATCAGGCTATGCTTCTATAGACATAACATATAGCTTGTCCTTTCCTCTAATGGGGTCTGTATAAGAGCAATTATTTTTTTTTATTTTGGGGGGTCCAATTTATTGCTACTCCCTTTCATGGATTGTAGTTTGGGGTCAAGTCTGAAAATTCTTCTCCTAGCCCTTTTTGTTATTTATTCCTGAAAGTTATATGATTTAATGTTGTACCTTTAAATCTACAATCCTTTTTGGGTTAATTTTTGCATAACGTATGAGATTTAGATCAAGGTTCACTTTTGGTGGCCTATGGCTGTCCAGCTGTTCTAACAGCACTTTTGGAAAAGCTGTCCCCCCTCCACTGAATTGCTTGTGTACTTTTGTCAAAAATCATTTGGGCCTATTTGTGTGCCTCTGTTTTTCATTCTCTAATCTGTTCCATTGATCCCTGTGTCTGCCCCTCATCCAATACCACACTGCCTTGGCAATAGTCAAGTACATAGTAAATCTTAATGTCTTGTAGAGTTATTCCTCCCACTTTGTTCATTTTGTTCAGAATTTTTTCTAGCTATTCTTAGGCCTTTGCCTTTCTATATAAATTCAGAATAAGCTTGTATATGTCTACAAGCAAACTTGCTGATATTTTGATAAGAATTGAATTAAACCTGTAGATCAATTTAGGGAAAATCTGTATCTTTATTATGCTGAGTCTTTTATTCCACGAACTTAATATGCATGTGTGATTTAGCTGAAGAGTTTTGTGATAAAGACTTTATCAAATTGCGGAACTTTCTCCCTCTTCACAGTTTGCCTAATTTTTATCATAAATGTGTGCTGAAAGTATCCATTTTGAAACAAAATATCATTTTGAAAGATGAAGCAAGTTGTTATAATAGGCCATTCCCAAGATGGCCTTGGTCTGAGTTAATACACTGTCTGCTAAGTCAATACAGCTGATCTGAGTCAATACACTGTCTGCCAAGGCCACTGAACTAACTGTCACCAATGCTTTCTAGTCTGCACAGCCCTGGAGGAGACGCTGTAATCCTTGGGATGTCCTACATCTATTTCACTGCAAAAACAGGTCTCCTGCCACATGGAGTATTTGCATTTAAAAGAAAACTGAGGGCTTGGCACCTGTGGCTCAAGCAGCTAAGGTGCCAGCCACATACACCTGAGCAGCTGGGTTCGAATCCAGCCTAGGCCCACCAAACAACAATGACAGCTGCAACCAAAAAATAGCTGGGCATTGTGGCAGGCACCTGTAGTCCAGCTACTTGGGAGGCGGAGGCAGGAGAATGGCTTGAGCCCAGGAGCTGAAGGTTGCTGTGAGCTGTGATGTCAATGCACTCTATGGGGCAACAGCTTGAGACTCTGTCTCAAAAAAAAAAAAAAAAAAGGAAACTGAGGCCCAGTGCAGTGGCTCACACTTGTAATCCTAGCACTCTGGGAGGCCTAGGCAGGTGGATTGCCTGATTTTGTGAGTGCAAGACCAGTCTGAGCCAAAGCAAGTCCCCATCTCTAAAAATAGCTGGGCACTGTGGCCGGCGCCTATAAGTTCCAGCTACTTGGGAAGCTCAGGCAAGAGAATTGCTTAAGCCCAAGAGTTTGAGGTTGTTGTGAGCTGTGATACCACAGCACTCTACTAAGGGCAACAAAGTGAGTCTCTGTCTCAATAAAATATAAAATAAACTAAAATAATAAAATAAAGAGACTGGGATATAGAGGCTGGAACCACACCAGGTGGCTTGCTGCCCCCTGCCATACACATACTCACAGGAGGGTAGGGATTTAGGATAAATCTTTACTGAGCTTCTAGCATAGGGTCTGCCATCCAGTCACTAAATATTTGTTAAATAAGTAACCTGTTTATCACATTTTCTACAACTGTAAGACCTCCAAAACTTATGTAGGACAAAATGTTTTTGCTTTGAACTCTAGTCTTTTGGTCCAGTGGGCTTTATGAAAAATGCCATCTCTATATCTGAGAATGAAGAATGGAAGAGAATACGAGCATTGCTGTCTCCAACCTTCACCAGTGGAAAACTGAAGGAGGTAAGAAAGTAAGAGGACTTCTAATTAGAAACTTTAGGAATGAATCTGGGACAGCTAGAAAGTAAAATCATAATCCTTTTCAATGGGGTAGTCTACTGAGTTTGAGCTTCCTAAAAATTGTCTTTTACCTTTATGTTCTAAAACAGAAATTATATGATTTCTTATAAAATGTTATTTACTGCTCCAAGCTTAGAGGACTTGAGTTTGCACATTTAATATGTGTGGTGTTATGTTTTGTGCTTAGATGTTCCCCATCATGAGCCAGTATGCAGATGTGTTGGTGAGAAACCTGAGGCAGGAAGCAGAGAAAGACAAGCCCATCAACTTGAAAGAGTGAGTAGGAGCACAGTCTTGGGGTTCTGAGCTGTCATGAGATCCTCTAGCTGCCTGCCATGGAGCTAATGTTCTCACTGTTGAGTTACTCTAGTGACCAGACAGGAGCAGGGTGTGGTGTTACAACTCCAATGGACACCCAAGAGGGAGTGGCTTGTAGGAGAAGACAGGGCAGCTGAGAGGGGATAAAAGGTCTTCTCCCCCATGCACAGGAGCCAAGATTAACTTATCTGAAAAATGATCCACTTAGATGCTCCAGAAGACAAAATACATGGTTCAGAAAGAGGAAATGATTGTACCAAAGTTTTGAGTGTAAAGGGTCTGAAATGGTGGGAGGTGAAGGTAGATGGTACTTGTTAGCTGGCAATGAGTGAGGCAGGAAAGTGACAAAGGGGAACCCGGGTGAACTTCAATCCCTTCATGGTTTTGCTGAGGATACCACTTAAATACTGAATACTAAACCTTCCCACCACTTCTCCATCCTGCAACCTCAAAAGAGAGTGGGCCCTGTAGAGGATATGGGTAAGACAACTCAATCATTTATCATCTAAAGCAGGATGTGTGGCTTGGCGCCTGTGGCTCAAGTGGCTAAGGCACCAGCCACATACACCTAAGGTGGCGGGTTCGAATCCCCAGCCCGGGCCTGCCAAACAACAATGATGGCTGCAACCAAAAAATGGCCAGGTGCTGTGGCGGGCGCCTGTAGTCCCAGCTACTTGGGAGGCTGAGGCAGAAGACTCGCTTGAGCCCAGGAGTTGGAGGTTGCTGTGAGCGTAATGCCATGGCACTCTACCCAGGGGGATAGCTTGAGGCTCCGTCTCAAAAATAAATAAATAAATAAATAAATAAAGCAGGATGTGTTTGAATTATGTTGGACAACAGGTATACACTGAGTCTGTCCTGGCAGACTGGGGACATGTGGTCACTTAGCTATCAGGTCCCCCAATCAATTTTGGAGTGATGTTTTATGGGGTTTATCTTTTTCTTCTTTAATCAGAAGATTCTTGGTTTTTTTGTTTGTTTGTTTGTTTGTTTTGAGACAGAGCCTCAAGCTGTCGCCCTGGGTAGAGTGCTGTGGCGTCACAGCTCACAGCAACCTCCAACTCCTGGGCTCAAGCAATTCTCTTGCCTCAGCCTCCGAAGTAGCTGGGACTACAGGCACCTGCCACAGTGCCCAGCTATTTTTTGGTTGCAGCCATCATTATTGTTTGGCAGGCCCGGGCTGGATTCGAACCTACCAGCTCTGAGATTCTTGGTTCTTACAATCCACAGAAATGATCTTCCCTTAGAGCAACTTCAGACTATAGGAATTGGAGAAAGTGGGTCACTTGGAAGCCTTAGCACAAGTGTAGAGAAGGAGAGATGATGTTCATGACAGCTCTAAAGGGGATGTAGCTTTTCTATGAAGTTCTGAAGAGGAATCAGGTCTTGCCTCACCACAGAATCTATGCCCAACTAATACGTAGATCATTGACACCTTTTGTGACACCAGGAAGTATTAGTTATTTCACTATGTTCTGCTGAAGCACAATGCGTATAGTCCTATTATCATCACACTTAACACACAATCCTGTAATTTGCCTGACTCTGGGTCTTTGACTCCCTGTGACTGAACTCCTTGAGCTCAGAGGTGAGTCTAAATCACCTTAGTGTCCCCATCACCCCAAGTCCAAGACCAGCTGCATCACTGGCACTCAATAACCACATGATGAGTGAGATAGCATATGATGCAGCAGGTAGTTCTGAAAGTCTGTAGCTTTTCATCTGTTTGGCCCAGACATATGGGTTTACACATATTTCTTGATGTATGTATAGCAGAAGAATGATAAAAAGGTACTAATTTCAATTTTCTGTTTTTTCTCTACTCAGTGCCTTTGGAGCCTACAGCATGGATGTGATCACAGGCACATCATTTGGAGTGAACATTGATTCTCTCAACAACCCACAAGATCCCTTTGTGGAAAACACCAAGAAGCTCTTAAGATTTGATTTTCTTGATCCCTTCCTTCTGTCGATAAGTATGTGGACTACCATTTCTCTCTCTCTCTCTTGCTACCCCTCACCCTTAAAAAAATGACAACTTTATTGAGATGTAGTTCACACACCATATAATTTACACACTTAAAATGTACAATGCAGTAGTTTTTAGTACAAAGTTATGTATAATCATCACCATTGCCAATTTTAGAACATTTTTGTCAATTCAGAAGCCCCATACCTTTTAACTATTACCTCTCCCAAATTCACTCAGGTTTAAGCAACCATTGATCTCTCTATCTCTAGATTTGCCTATTCTGGATACTATCATATAAGTAGAATCATATAATATGTGGTCTTTTGACTGGCTTCCTTTATTGAACATGTTATTTTCAAGATTTATCCACATCAAAGCATGGGCTCAGTACTTCAATTCTTTTTATGGCCAAATAATATTCCATTGTATGCACCAACTGTATTTTATGTGTTCATAGTTGATAGACATTTAGGCTGTTTCCACCTTTTAGCTACTGTGAATATTGCTGCTATGAATAGTCATTTACCTGTTTATGTTGAATACCTGTTTAGGGGTATATATTCAGGACTAGAATTGCTGGGTTATATAGTAATTCTAAGTTTGACTTGTTAAGGAACTGCCAAACTGTTTTCCACAATAGATTCACCATTTGCATTCTTACCAGAAATGTATGAGGGTTCTGATTTCTCCACATTCTCGCCAAGTCTTGGTTTTCCCATCTTTTTGATTATAGCCATCCCAGTGGGTATGAAGTGGTATCTCACTGTGGTTTTAGTTTTCATTTTCCTAGTGGCTAATGATACTGAGAAACATTCACCATTTTTATATCTTCTTTAGATAAATATCAAGTCTTTTGCTGATTGTTTGTCTTTTTGTTGTTGGGTTGTAAGATTTACTTATATACTATATTCTAGATACAAATCCCTTATCAGAAATGATGTGCAAAATTTTCTCCTATTGTTTAGTATCTTTTCATTTTCTTAAAGAGTATTCTTTGAGGCATAAAATGTTTGATTTTGATGATGTGCAACTTATGCATTTTCCTATTATTGCTTGTGCTTTGGGTAACAAATCTAAAAATCCATTGTTAAATCTGCGGTCATAAAGATTTACCCTGTTGGTTTTCTTCTGAGGGTTGTGTAGTTATAGCTTTTATGTTTAGGTCTTTCATGAATCTTGAGTTAGGTTTTAGATACAGTATAAGAGTCCAACTTTATTGTTTTGCATGTGGCTATCCAGTTGTCCCAGCATCATTTGATGAAAAGATTATTTTTCCCCATTTTAATGGTCATGGTCACTTTAATGGTCACTTTTTTCATATTCAGTGGACCATAGATAAATGGGTTTATTTCTGAAATCTAAATTCTATTCTTTGATTTATATGTCTATCATTATGCCAGTGCCACATTGTCTTGATCATTAGAGCTTTGTTGTAAGTTTCAAAATCATAAATACCAGTCCTACAACTTTATTCTTCCTTTTCAAGATTGTCCTGGCTATTCCAGGTCTCTTGAAATTCCATATGAATTTTAAAATCAACTTGCCACTTTCTATTAAGAAGCCAGGTAGGATTCTGATAATGTGTTAAATTCACTTCAGGTATATTACTATTTTGACAATATTAAATTTCCTGGTCCATGATCATAGCATATTTGTTCTTTTATTTTGGTCCTCTATTTCAACAATGTTTTGTAGTTTTCATAGTTTAAGTTTTATACTCTTGATAAATTTATTCCTAATATTTTGTCTATTTGATCCTATAATAAATTAAATTATATGTGGATATTCTTAATTTCACTTTTGGATTATCTATTGTAGTGTACAAAAGTATAATTTATTTTGTATATTGATCTTGCAGTCTGAAATGTTCCTGAAGTCATTTATTAGTCTAATAGGTGAATAGAAGTGGGGAGAAAGATAACATTATCTTATTCCTGATTTAAGGGGGAAAGCTATTAAGGATGGTGTTAGTTTGAGACTTTCACAGATACTGTTTAGCAGGCTGAGGAATCCTCTTCTATTTCCAGTTTGTTCAGTGTTTTTAATCACAAATGGATATTGGATTTTGTAAAATTTTTTCAGCATCTATTGAGATGACTGGTATTTGCTTCTTATTCTATGGATATGGTGCACTATACAACCTTGCTTCCCTGAGGTAAACCTCACTTGGTAATGGCATACAATTATTTTTATATGTTGCTAGATTAATTCAGTTTTCTATTTTGTTGAGGATTTAGGCATCTCTATTTATAAGATGTATTACTTTGTGTGATGGCTTTGTCTGGTTTTACTATGACTGTGATCTTGTCATATAGAATTTAGAAGTGTTCCCTCATCTTTTACTTCTCAAAAGTGTGAAGAATTAGTAACAGTTCTTCTTTAAATATTTGGTAGAATTCATCATTGGAACTGTCTGAGATTTACTTTGTGAGTAGTTCTTTTTGTCTTTGTTGTTATTGTTGTTGTTGTTTGTTTTTGTGGGTAGTGTTTAATATGGGTAGTGTTTAACTTCAATCTCTTTACATTTTTTAGGTCTACTCAAATTATTTCTCAGTCAGTTTCTGTACTCCATGTCTTTTAAGGAATTTGTCCATTTCATCTAAGTAATTATACTTTATATAATTGTCCTAATAATAATATGTACTTTATATGTAATTGTCCTAATAATAAAATTATTAATAGAATTCCTTTATAATCCATTTTTAATATCAATAATTTCTTTTCTTTGATTTCTCAGACTATTAATTCAAGTCATCTCTCTTCTTTTCTTAGCCATTCTAGCTAAAAGTTTGCCAATTTTGATAATATAGTCAAAGAACCAATTTTAGATTTTACAGATTTTCACTGTTTTTAAAGGTCTATTTCATTAGTTTACACTTTAGTTTTTATTATTTTTTCCTTCTGCTTGTTTTAAGTTTATTCTTTTTTTTCTTAGTTTGTTATGGTATAAACTTAGATTATTGGCTTTAGATTTTTTTTAATGCAGACCCTTACAACTGTAAATTTCCCTCCAGGCACTGTGCCTTTGCTACATCCAATATATTTGGGCATATCATGTTTTCATTTTTATTCATCTCAAAACAATTCCTAATTGTATTTTTGATTTCTACTTCGACCAATTGGTTATTTAGAAGTATACTGTTTGATTTCCACATATTTGTGAGTGTCCCAATTTCCTTCCTAATGGTGATTTTTAGTTTCATTCTATGGTAGTCGAAGAACATATTCTTACTGTTTCCATCCTGACTATTATTTCTTGAACAGTATGATTAATTAAAGCAGCTAACTATGGTCTACTTTATCCACAGAGACTCTTTAGTCCCATAGATAAAGGCTAAGTGGTAAGAAAATTTAACCCTATTCCTTTGGCCACTCCAAAGACGGATAAAAAGCCACTGATCTCACTGCTATAGGTTGGCCCCTATACATGGCATGCTCTTATCAGCCACTGGTTTGCAAGACAAGCAAAGTTCACAAAGGGAATGGCTCCTGGTTGAGAACTCTAATGTCTTTTACTCTTCTAATTAGTAGAGAAAATTATAATTGCTCCAGGTAAGTTTTTCATTTTCATGACTGGTTCCTTTTTTTTTTCTTTTTCCTACAGTACTCTTTCCATTCCTTACCCCAGTTTATGAAGCACTGAGTATTACTGCATTTCCAAAAGATGTTATAGACTTTTTTAAAAAATCGGTGAAAAGGATGAAAGAAAGTCGCCTGAAAGATAAAGAAAGGGTAAGTTCTGATGGGTACAACATGAAGATGTTTACTTTTTGATAATCTTGGAGGCTGTATAACTATCATTTGTTCACTTCCCTGTATTTTTAAAAGGTAGATAGAGAACTTAAGTTCAGACCAAAAGAGTGATTACATTTTTGTGGGAATAAAGAAGATGGTGGTTGGGGAAGAAGATATGAGATGAGTCAGAGAGATAGTGTTAAAATTTTTTTTTATTAGATCATAATTGTGTACATTAATTCTCTCATAGGATACATGCCTATAGTTTATTCTATTTGGGGACAGTGTTAAAATTTAACAGTGGGCATGACAATTAGAAAGTCATGGCATAAATAATATGGAGGAAAAAGTTTTACCACTTCCCTTCCCTTCACTAAATTGTCAAAAGATAAAGGTTACTGTTTAAAACTTATTTTACTGGTATTATAAGTTCTCCAGATCTTAGAATGACAAAGAACCATTGCAAGTCCAAGCTTGTTATTTTAGACGTTCTCCAGTGGAGAGTTCTATCAGGTTACCCACTAAAGTATAGTGTGCGTTACCTTTAAGGCCTTTCATGGCCTGAAGTGGGCAGGGGTCTTCTCTGGGCATTAAGGCTACAAGCTAGCTGACCCAGCTTTACCTTCATAAGCCCTGGAGTCCAGTCCAAGGATGTCTTCAGGTCAGGGAGGTAGACGCAACAACCCAGGTGTTACCGAAATTGAATAGAGTTCTAGGAGGGTGGGGTATTTCAAAATACTTGCGAAAAAAATGCTCAGCTCTGAAAATGTGAAATTAATCTCTATGTCCACTGGCTAAGAACGAAGGCAGGAGAACAAAAGGGCCCGACATCCAGAACTTTTTCCTGTGCAAACAGGTATGAATAGAGAAAGCACCAGGAACTCTTAGAGCAGGAAGCTGTGTCCAAAAGCTAGAGAAATAAGGGATCAGGAAGTGCAAGTCTAAAAAGCAGTTGCACATGATAGCTGCAATTCTCTGAGGGAAACATTCCACTCTCCAAGGTCTTACATGAATGCTTTGGTTTCATGAGCACTGGGGCAACCCTGTCAGACTCTATACTTCAAGGGTCCGTATTTTCAGAAGGGAGGTTGAGGATGCTGATTTATTTATGCCTTCACAAGACAATTTCTGTCATTGAAATTTCTCTTTCTGCTTCCAGCACCGAGTAGATTTCCTTCAGCTAATGATCGACTCCCAGAACACCAAAGAAACGGTGTCCCATAAAGGTAACCAAGGAGGGCTTCTGAGGACTCCTGATGGGGAAGCCCAGAGAGATGGGCTTGTTCTAAAAATGTACAGGAAGTTCTCCAGGGAGAGAAGAATTTCTTCTTCCATGTTGTAGAATGACACACGTTTGGATTATAAATGGTACCTGGAGGCACCTTCTAGAAACATACAGGCATAGCCATATTCAAAGCTACAAAGGAAGCCCTGAACAAGCCTTTCACGCCTGCAAATCAGCTGGTGTCTGTGGATCAACTACATGAGAACTAATGCTGGTTCTTAGGTTCCCCGAGATCCACTGAGTCAGAACCTCTGCCTGAAATTTTGTGTCTAATATCCAATCAGGAGGCACATGGTCCCAATAATAATGATTTTAATTGAAAATATTTAAGAATGTGTTCATCAGATTAATCTATAGTCAAGTTTTATTTTTCCCTTTGGAATTAATAAGTACTTTGTGAAGGAAACCTTTGAAACTGCATAAATATCTTCTTCCTCTTAATCTTTCACTTATTGTTTTATCATCTATGGATGGTTATGACTGAAACCATTATTACTATGATGGCTGCTAAATGACAACTATGTCAATTTCAAGCTCCTTAGGTTTGACAACCATCTCACAAAAACCCAGAATATTTAACGATTGGTTCTAGAGAATAGGGATAGGCTAGCTCCATAATACCACTGTAAATGCATCTATGTGTACACTTACTTCTATCTATCTATCCCAAGACAACTTTCTGTAATAAAGGAAATTATCTTTCGTTTCCCTGTTCAATGGTCACTGTAGACATGTGACTACTAGGCACTGGACATGTGGCCAGTGAAACTGAAAACAATTGTACATTGCATTTCATTTTAATTAACTAAAATTTAAATAGCCACATGTGGCTATTGGCTATCTTATTGGACAGCACTCTAATCTTTGAGATTATAGTACAATTTTAATTCAGTAGCAGAGGTCTCAGACTAACTGAATAAAAAAAATTGATAGTTAAATTACCCACAGCTGCATCACAGAACTGATGCCTGGTAAATCACAACTCTGTAGACATTTCTCACACTTATTTTATATTTTAGTTCTGAATTACATGGTTAGGGCAGACATCATATTTATTTCAGTGCTCCAGGTATCTAAAGGTCCTAATCCAGTCCCAATCAAACAATACAGTACCTGATAGTACTTAGCTTCTCTCAGGAGAAAAATTAAGGAGGAAGCTAGCCATGGACTAACAAAGACGACATTCAGGCCATGACTGAATAAGCATTACTAATTCTGCTCACTAGATCCTATTTTTCTTTCTTTCTTTCTTCTTTTTTTTTTTTTTTTTTAAGAAAGAGTCTTATTTTATCGCCCTCAGTAGAGTGTTAAGGCATCACAGCTCACAGCAACCTCCAATTCCTAGGCTTAGGCGATTCTCTTGCCTCAGCCTCCCAAGTAGCTGGAACTATAAGCACTCACCACAACACCCAGCTATTCTTATTGTTGTTGTTGCAGTTTGGCCAGGGCCAGGTTCGAACCCACCACCCTCGGTATATGGGGCCAGTGCCCTACCCACTGAGCCACATGCATTGCCCTAGATCCCATTTTTCTATATTTCATGCTGGCCAGTGTCCTACCATAGATACTTTCTTTCTTTTGCTATTTTAAAACCATTCATTAGAATATGGTCAGTCATACCCCTTCAGCTTTCTATCTCTGTAGTTTCTTTATATTCTGAGATCATCCATGTGAAGACTTGTGCCCCAGAACTTCTAGTAGCTGATGCCTCTCAGAGGTATAACCATACTTCTTAGGCTAGGGTGTGCACACAAATCACCATGTCTCCTGAAAGTTCAGATATTCATTCTATAGTTCTAGGGTAGTGTTTGAAATTCTGCATTTCTAATAAGCTTACAGATGCTGCTGATGCTGTTGATCCATGGACCACACTTTGAGTAGCAAGATTTTATCTGTACCCCCATATTGTTCCCTTAAGTTCCTTGAAACATGTTTAGAGGAAAGATCCTTAATTTTCCCTGTAATTAAGTCTCAGTATTGCAAACGGAAAGATTTCCAAGCTCTATTATAACTACAGTATGTTAAATTTTGCCTGGGGGAGAATGCGACCCCATATTTAACTTACAGCTAAAGTACTATTATGATTATTTGGGGGGCTCCCATAATACTGAGTATGTTAGACAGAAATGCTCTCTCTGAAAATTACCAAGCTATGTTGGCAATGAGGATGCATAATGAGGAGTGGATGACCCACAACCATATAGACTTTGATAAAAACTGGGTTAATACAAGTATGCCTTGCTCTATCTCTTTAAGGCAGACATCAGATTAAGACCATCTCCAATGTGATTCTGAATTATTTTTCCATTTTTCCCCTAGGGATTTGGGAGTTCACTTGGATTTCTCCTCCTCTAAACTGTGATGTTCTACATTGACCAACTTACCTAAAATGTCTTTCCTTCCAGTTCTGTCTGATCTGGAGCTTGTGGCACAGTCAGTTATCTTCATTTTTGCTGGCTACGAGACCACTAGCAGTGCTCTTTCTTTCATTATGTATGAACTGGCCACTCACCCTGATGTCCAGAAGAAACTGCAAGACGAGATTGATGCGGCTTTGCCCAATAAGGTGAATAGGTGACACCTGCAAAGGGAGACAGGTGGAGTTTTGAAAAAAAAGTATAAGCATCGATTCTTTCACCAGCACTGTTTAGGAAGGTCCTAAAGAGAAAAATAGAGAGAGAAACACAGATAATGGATGCCACTCTCAGAAATATAAGAAACTTGTATAATAGTGCTACTCCAGATACATCCATTATCTGTTACCACAATAATGCCAAATTTAAAAAAAAAAAAAAAACTATGCAGAAAAACAAAGTGGCATCTAACAGTAAGCATTTACTGCTCATGTGCCTGGATAGTTAGCTCAGCAGGCAGTGGCTGGACCTCCTCTGATCTGGCTATTGTTTGATTGCACCTGACCTTGGGTGCACTGGGCAGATAGACTCAGCTCTGCCCACACCTGTCTCATGCTGCAGTCATGAAGCTAGTGGTGAAGCAACCTGGGCAAAATTCTTCATCTCCATGTTATTTCCTCCAAATATAACACCAAGGGCTAGAGATATATTGCCCACACTGTTTTTAGATCTCTGCCCAAACTGGGATTCTTTGTGGTGTAAAAAGATCTGGCCTCCGAATCAGATGCTGGTTTGGCAAACAGATCTTCTTTAGAGCTACAGTCAAGCCCTAAAGCAACAAGTAGGAGACTCTTCTAGCAAGAGAGGATGAGGCTCAGTGAGGGAGTTCTATCCCCTTTATAACTTTCACTAAGACCTGAAATTGTGGGACCTGGTGGCATCTAATTATGACCTTCCCTTGTCATATTTGCATTAAAAAGTGACTAGTTTGTCCCCAAGTTATTTGCAGCATGTTTATATAATATGGTGTTTCTCTCTACATTCTATATACATAACCAAAAGAGTTATCAAGCAGGATTTACTGAAAAACCATATGTCAAATAGGGATTTACTCTTTACATGTTCTCTTTTCTTAGTACAGACATGTGACTTTGATATGTTTTACTCAAGAGTAATGGTCATAGTCTATTGGTCACATTAGACTACAGGTGAAAGAAAAGGCACTATGTGCGGCTCAGCGCCTATAGCTCAACCGGCTAAGGCACCAGCCACGTACACCTAAGGTGGCGGGTTCGAATCCCCAGCCCGGACCCGCCAAA